ATAAACAATTTAAATCTGACATTCCGAAGTATGTTTAATTTACCACCGCTTATTGGTCTAAAACGTTTGAAAAATACGTGGGTTGCAGCCCCCTTAATTCAATTTACTTAGCATTTATGTTTGATATTACATCTTTAAGCTGCTTAAAGATCCGTTTTTTTTTTTTTTAAATACTAGCCGTTTTTAACACGGAGTTCGACGAAACGTTTAGTTTTGATTAAATCTACTCGATACCTAACTAAACCCCCGCCTGGACATAATATAATATTTAATATTGTCAATTCGTTAGACCTAACATGATACAAATAATAATCGTAACACATTACACGATAATATAATAATATTTAGGCAACGAAAACCAGTATAATATAGTACCTGTTAAATGTTTATAATATTATTATATAAGAGCGTGGAGGTCGGCGGAGGTGGCTCGTCGAATGGTCTCCATTGCTGACACACTCGGCGGCCGGCAGTCGCGATAGTGAACGTGCCGACGACACCCAAACAGTGTGCGCACACGATGAATATTATGGTCAGTTCGTATTTCGCCACCACATTTGCGTTTCTGGTTGTCTCGATCGGCTGGTGGGCCGCCGACGCTGAGATCTGTTGCAACAGTAGTTCAGTCGTCGGGTCGTGCCGGAACAAAAACCGGACGTTCCACACGGTCGAGACGTTCGGCTTCGGCACGTGCGATGACAACCAGACGGCCGTGCCGGTCCGGAAGTGCTGTCCGCTTGGCCAGTCGTACGACCCGAAAGTGCGGTTTTGCGGACCGGCCAAGGCGGACGGCCTCAAACACCTGCGGTTGATGATGCGGCTACTAGGGTACTTTGCCCATGCCGTGTCCGGTGCGTCGATGGTGGGTTACAGTTACGAGCATCCGCTGTGCGACGCCTGGAACGTGCTAGTCGACTTGCCCACCGAGGAGGTGAGGAAGCACATAGTAGCGTACTCGATGTACTTTGATCTACCGCCGGGATACTGCTTCGACCTGACGCCATTCGATGGTCTGGTGGCCCGGACGTGTTACGCAGCTGCTGTGGTCTGTTGCAACAGTAGTACAGTCGCGAGTGGTGGCGGAGACGTCGTCGAGTCATGCCGGAACAAAAATCGGACGTTCCACACGGTCCAGGCCCTCGGACGTGGCACGTGCGATGACGACCGGACGGCCGTGTCGATCCGGAAATGCTGTCCGCTGGGCCAGTCGTACGATACGGTAAAGAAATTATGCCGACCGGATGGGGTGGACGACGACGAGAGACTGCAGAGGATGATGCAGCTACTGAGCAACGAATTCCGGGGGGCCGATGCCATGATGGTGGCCATAGGCGTGCGCACGGGAGGGGCAGGGTGGGCAGCTGCCCCTCCTGCGGGCTCAAGTTTTCTTACAAAATAACAAAGTTTTTAAAAAAATATTATAATACAGTTTTATATAATGAATATTATGTAAACATTGAGTGCTCGATGTACAGTGCACGATGATTTTATGTTGTCCAACTTTAAGCGAACCACAAGCGATACCGCGGTGATAACGAGTGCTTATAATCTTATTATAGCATGATGTAGATTGAGATGTGATGAGACATGAAAGTGAGTAGTAATTTGACGGCATTTAATGCGAAAAACGTTCACCGGAAGCGCTAAGAAGGTCGGTTCTTTAAATAATTAGTAATTAATAATTATAATAATTAGTATGCAGTATACGAACAAATATTATAGCTCTTTACTTCCGAAGCAATTTTCGGAATTTTTAGTATTTTAGTATTTTTATGCTCAACGTGTTGATTAAATCAGAATATACCTATCTTTTTTTTTAATGTGGTGTTTTATATTGAAATTAATTTTCTATTTATACTGTAACCTACAAATCAAATTGTTTATTATATACCTAATACTATTAAATACCTATAAAGTATAATTTATAAAACAGTTTAAATAATAGGTTACATGCCTACAATAATGTATAAATTTCAATATTACCAAAGAATAGAATATTATTGATACATTAATGCATGATATAATAGTGGTACTATTTTTGGAAAAATCATACTAAGGATTTACATTTTTTTTTAAATGTTGATATTTATATGTTCAACGTGTTGGTGCAAATAATAATTTACCTATCTTACTTACTTTTTTTGTAATTGTAAATAAATAGTAAGTAGAATTAGTAAATTCAGATTTCACCAACACATCGGGCATAAAAATATATATGAATGCAGTGGCGGATCCAGGGCTTAATTTTGGGAGGGGCATGGGGGGGCTCAAAAGTATATGAAAGTTCCAAAATTGGCTAAACACAGTGTAAAACAAAGGAAAACTACGGTTATTGGGGGGGGCAAATGCCCCCTTTTCCATCCCCCTGGATCCACCACTGTATGAATGTAATAATTTTCTTTGTTCATGTATATTAATATAATATAAAAAAACTTTGGAGTTTCAATTACTATATTAAATTTGTAGTTATTTGTAGTTTTAATGATACATAAAATGAAAATACTTCCATCACTTACATTAATTGAACTAATAACCAAAATAATATTTACTTACCTATATATTATATAATATACCTATACGTACATTATTACATTCTGCCCCCCCTGCCAGCAAGGTCTGCGCACGCCTATGGATGGTGGGTTACAATCATGAGCAGCTACCGTGTGACCAACCATACGAGCTACTCGGCCTGCCAGCCATGTATTATGTGCTGATGAAAAGTAAACCGTCCGACTTTCCGGAGGAACCCTGCATCGATCTCTCGTCATCCGATGAGCTGGTCGGCGGGCTGTGCAAGCGAAGCCAACAATGCCTCAATAACACGTGCGTCCACAGGTGCTGCAAAGGCGACCGGATGATAGTTGACGGCCCCAAGTAAGCCCAAGGAGGTCTATTTTAAGTGTAAAGTAGTACGTAAATGCTTATACATAAAGCGCATCTACAACTGCAGCTTATGCCGTGGTTATTTGGTAGGATAGGGATATTGGAGGTTAGGCGAGTCTCCAGATTGGAAAAATTTCGAAAGTGTGTGTATATAAATTATGCACACAGTGGCGCCTATAATATGTTTCAAGTCTGGAATGCCAGACCTAATTAGTAATTTAAAGGGTGGATGTCAGGTGGTACAATATATCTTGTAAAAATGTCTACGAATCTTATGATACTTAATATCAAAATAACTATTGACTAATGAATTTGATAAGCGGATAAAGTATGCACCTTATTCGTGCTATAGTTGTCAGGACTTGTTTATTTTGTCATTGTAAAGTGACCATTCATGTGAATGTATGAAAGCTGCCAAGTGCGTCCTCAGGATAAAATCCTACCCTGGGCACCCCTCAGCGGGTGACCATGAAAGCCTCTGCCCACAAATATATTAGATATGATTCGGCTGAGGGGGGGGGGGTCTTTAAGTACGTGTAGAAATGTAAAAAGTGAGAAATTAGGTAACTGTTAACTGCTGCTTTAAGGTTGAATTCATTCTTCGTGAAAACATTACATTTATTAAATTATATAGTTATTGATTATTATAATCGCATAATTTTATAATATCGACTAGTACCTTTATATTTATATGCTTACTATTATTATCATATCATACCTATTATTAATATAAACTTTTGGTCAACTCAAACTTTCCATAGATCGGTGAACGGTGTGAGGTTCATTGTATACCCAACGTATAAATAAACTTAAAATTTTTAACTTAAAATTAATAAAAATATTTTGAAAACGTCATTATGTATAGTAAAATATTATAAGTTGAAGACTTGAAGTCAATAACGGGCTAAGTGCCAAAAAGTTGTTTCTGAGTTATTCAATTTTTAGCCCGTTATAACCACAACCGGCACATAGCTCTCACGACATTTGTTTGCTATTTACTCACCAATATTATGGTCGTGGTACATGTTCTTTTTATAGGTTGTTTGCGATGGCACATAGCTCCGTTTATCGAGCCTAAATCAATTTTGTTTTTTTTTTGACACTTAGCCAGTTATTATGATTCCAAGTCTTCAGTTATTATCGAAAACCTGTAACAGGTATTATAACAGATATATATTTATAATATTATTAAAGTATCGGTAAGTACAACTGATCATATTGCTAAGACAAAAATACAAAATAAGTAAGTACCTAATAATGACAACGCGTCAATCGAATGTGGCTCGAATATTGTAAAAAGATAAAATTTGCTATTGCCATTTGCCACTATAAATACCATTGGCGAAAAATGTCGATTTGCACTGGAGAATTTTCTACCCCTAATTACGCTGACGATTATAACCAGGGCTCGGGACTTAAAGCATTTGCTTATTTTTTTAGATTGACTTAAAATGTAGCAGAGTACTATAGAAGTGTATGTCATGTTACAACACATTCAATTATGAAATTTGAGAGTGCTTTTTTTGCTTTTTTCAGTGATTTTTCAATAAAATGCTTATTTCAAGTTTTTATGATAATTATTGCTTTTTTGACCAGTTTTCATACTTTTTTATGGTTTTCTACTGCAAAGTTGTTTTTGATAGAATTAAAATTTAAAAAAATTTAAATAAAAAAATTTATTAAAATTTATTAAAAAATTATTTTTTTTCAACTATTTGTAAATATTGTTTACATTTTATTTTTCAGAAAATCCCTTGGAAAATCCATAAAATCCTCAGTCCTGAAAATGAAGTTTAATTTTTTTTATAATATAAAGATAAATTTTTATTTTTATTTTATTGTTTCTGTTTTTAATAAATATTTTTGCTTAAATTTAAGTTTTTTAAATGCTTATTTGAGTGCTTATAATGATGTTTTTAAGTGCTTATTTAAGCGCTTATTTTAATGTTTTTAAGTGCTTTAAGTCCCGAGCCCTGATTATAACGTATTATCACGCAGTGGTCCGGAGTGCACGCTGAGCGAGAAGCCGTTCACGATTTCGGCCTATGAAGTAGACGAGTACGGCCGTCAGGCCCGGTCGAACAGAACCGCGTGCTGCCGTACCATGTAGAATTCAAATGTCCGCACAGAGACGTGCTGAGCGACGGGTTCCGGTTGACCGAGGACGGCAGACTTTACGCCTTACCCACGAACACCACATCGTGCCGCACACGGAATACTGCTTGGGGTATTCACCGGTCACCGACGGCGTAGTGGCGTTCATATGCGACGCCGACTTCGTGTATATGGCCGAACGCGTGCGTGACACGTCGCTTCCCTCATCGTTCTACCGCGGAAGTTACGTGGCGTCCGCCGTGTGCCTGGCGCTCACGCTGCTCGCGTACAACGCACTGCCCGGCCTCCGGAACGGCCGCGACTACTACGTCAAGTGCTACACGAGCCACCAGTTCGTGTCGTACATCTTCGTAATATTGCTCAAATGATCACAGGAAACAAACAAGGCCTTGAAAATACTGTAATAAAAATATTTAAATACCAAAATTTAGCGTTTTTTACTTTTTAAAAATAGCACTTTTGGCCAGCTAAAAATGGGTTTCGGACCACTGTGCGTCTTACCCATATTGTCGTCATTATTTGATCGTATCCTACCACACTTTCCATCTATTTCCTGCACATACCACATAGTATAGCAATATATCTGAGACTCTTGAGACTCCAGCTGGATAATATGTAATAAATTGATCTGGGGAAAAAAAATACATAAGGACAAAATACATCCAAGTCAATATGTATCCACCAGAAAACAAATCCATGGTTAAAAAACCAATAGATGGGATAAAAAAATCGCCCAAAATATATTTAATAAGGAATTTTATCAAAAAAAGGTTAAATATATAAAATATTAAATGTATAGTTTATAACTACTATTGTCATAATATATACCTATATCGTAATAATTTCTTTAAAATTACTAATTTCAAACTATTTCTGCTCTTTTACATAATACCATATATTACTGGTATTAAACAACAATATTAATTTTGTAAAATAATCCTATAATTACCGACTTGAACAGTGTTCGATAATAAAATAACCATTTAAATTAATATTTAAATAATCCGTCAGGTGTGTCCCCCAAGGCCCAAAGTCACCACCTCTCACATTTTGTCTTTAATTTACTAATTATTAATGATAATGTTTTAACATTAAATAATTTTGATATTTTGCTCTTTCCTAATGCTGCAATACAATTTAAAACTATGCAATATTCAAGAAAACACAATATGTACTCTTAAAAAATAATTTGGATAGTGATAATACTAACGATTGGTGTCATTCTTATGCATTGAATATTAACTTAAATAAATGTCATTTTTTTAGTTTTTTGAAAAACATAACCTCATCTAACCATCAATTATAAGTTAGATAATCACTTATTCAATAGAACACCTAAAAAATACATTATTGGTGTAATTTTTCATTTAAAACTATAATTATTTAACTTACATGTGTTTGAAATTAAAAATAATCACTATCTCTTTTTGACATGTTTCTAGTGTTTATAAAATAAAATTATGAAAATATTTTTTTTTTTCACTTTTTTTCATTCATAGTGTATGCTTGTCTTATAAGAAACATAAAAATAACGAAAATTTATTTCTATAATGTTTCACTATTACAAATCGTACATATTCTATTTTCATTTTAATAAAATATTATATATATATATTTTTTTCTTATTATCTTAACTATCAATTATCATAATTTTAGTTAGTACCAACCATTATGGTCTAATGTTTATTGTTACACTACTATCTATATTATAACTATATTTTTAAGGTTATATTTAATGCAATGTTTTTATAACTTATAATCATTGTTATTAATGTGTATCCTAATATTAATAATATAAATTTAAATTATGACCAGCAAAAAAAAACCAAAAATACTCTTATCTCTTTTGCACTCGTGTAAAAAAGACAAACTTGATATTTTCAATTCACTTAACTCACTGACATTCTAGCTCATGACAAGGACCTGATTTAAATCCAAGTATATTTTCAAAAACTGTATATACTTATATTATGTTTTTTCTACGCAATTGTTATATATATTTAACCCGTCGCTATCTACTGGTACTTTTCCCGATCCATTGAAAATTAGTGTTATTCACCCTGTACTAAAATCATCATCAGACCTATAATATCTTCAATTTCACCGACCAATCCCATTACCCACTATTGGAATAGTCGGAACTTAATAAATCATCATCAAAATGTGCCAATCGACATAAAATTGTACTGGGAAAAGTATGAAGTTTCAAATTTGGAAAAATAAGTTCTAATTAGATCCAAATAAAATATTGGTGAAGGTTTGAAGTGAAACTGACAATGTGAGGAGGGGGTATCTTCACGAAACTAATTATCCATGCATCTAAAAACTAAACAAAAAATAAATATAAATATTGATGTAATTATTTGTCTTATCGATATACATGTTTTAGAGTCCACATTATATATACTATTAATTATTATTTTATTTGTTTATATATTTTGGATTAATTTAAAGTGTAATTTTAGGTTATATTACTTTATTTGTATTTCTATCAACATTATGCTGGTTAAACGTAATATGCTTCGATATTTACTGGATGATAAGGTATGTAAATTATATTCTTACATGATATAGTAAAACAAATTGTAAAACGTTAACCTGTATATATTTATGTGGTGTTGTAAACTACTAAGCAACACATAAGTATTAAGTAGGCAGATAATTATATGAAATATATAATGAAAGTAAATATCAGTTTATAAGTACATAATTACTAATCATTGTCCTATAAAAAAAAAAAAATAAAGATATATATAAATATATGGAAAATATTTTCACTCCCCCCTGGACTTGTTAAGAACCTCTCATGGTCGTATATTTCGTATAAACATACATCGTTTGGAACAAATAATAATCAGAAAAAAGTATATAAAGAGCAATTATTATAATAAAGTCGTGTGTGAAATACCTATACTCATCAGTAATGTACTAAAAAAAGAAACAATTCATGAATAATATTATAATCGAAAAGGTATATAGTACCAATCTAGTAGGGAGTATATTTATTTATGTTATTAAATATTATAGTTAATTATGCGTATAGAATATTTATTAAAATTACCAATTGCTATATAACTAGGTAGTTTATTATTAGATTATAGATATCGATAAAATTCATCTACGAAATCAATAGTAATAATAGCAAAATTGAACCTTTTAAAATCAATAAGTTAAATTAAAATAATAGTTGTTTGATAATTTGTATTAAAAAATCTAATCGGATTGTAAAAATAAATTTAATTCAAAATCAAAATTCAAATTCAACAATAGCCAAACTATCGATAATAATTGTTCATCAGTAAGAAATTTTGTTTTCTTAGGACCGTTTAACATCCAAGCATATATGAAACGCGCATACGGCTCGTAGGTAAAAATCAAAATTAAAATCCTAAAAGTGTAAAAGTGAAATTCTCAATCGAAAACGAAATATATGTTTTGAATTTGGTTTTTGGTGTAACTTTAAGACAAATGACCTTAGATACATGAAATTTTCACTGGTTGTTTATATTTGCATTTTCTATACACGATAACATTTTCAAAATATTTTGATTTATTTTGAACTGTTTAGGGACATTTTCATTTTTTTTTAGTTTTTTTTCTAGAAATATCAATAAAATTTTATTTGTTGGTTAAAAAAACTTGAAAATTTAATAGAAGGATCCTAGTATATTGTTTCAAAAGCAGATGAAAAATATTAAAAATCGTTACTCACAGTTTTTTTTTATAAGCATTTAAAGTTCAAAAATTGACAAAATATGGAAAAATCACGAAAATTAGCAAATTATTTTGAGTTAAGAATTCGTAAAAATTTTTCTTTTTAAATCTAAGATTTGAAAATGTAATACAAGATTACTCATAAGTTTGTCTACCTTTATCAATAAAAAAATCTCTACCGGACAGTCAAATTAAATTTTTATGAGCGTTTGAAATTCAAATTTTTACAACATTGGATGTTCACTCGATTTCTCATGTAGCGATTTCCTTATTTTGTTGTTATTCATAAACGAATAACTATAGATGTTTACGGATTTTTTCATTTTTCAATTTTTTTAGTTTTTTTTTTCTATGAATATCAATTAAGTTTTATCTGTTGGTCCAAAAAGTGTAAAAATTTAATACAAGGCTCCTGATATATTGTTACAATATCAGTTGAAAAATATTAAAAAAACATAGGCATAATTTTTTATAAGCATTTAAACATCGAATTTTGACACCATTTATCAAAATCTCGAAAATTATTCATCATCGTAATTAATAGATTATAAAATGTTCAGTTTTCATAGCTAAGGATTGAAAATTTAAAAAAAAAAGATTCTTATAAATAGTTCATACTGTAGCCAAAAAATCTAAAAAATATATGAGCACAGTTATCTTTTACAAACATTTTAAATTCATATTTGGACAAAATTACATATTAAAAAACCTAGAATAACTATTTTAGTTATTTTGTTGTGATTGTATAATATTATTCGTGGGTACTTGAAACTTCTAAAGTGTACTATTATATATCTATGATAGTATCACTTTTTGTTGTTGATGTATAACGCTTATAAGTACCTAATGGATATTGTGATATGATTAATTTGGAATTTATTATAGGTACCTATTATACGTCAATTTTATTTTAATACCATAGATTTGTATATAATATGTTTTATACCTAGACTGACATACCGTCTCCGCTCAGAATCGTTTTTCTTATACATTGATAATACATCGTTGAATTCAAATTTAATATCATCCATTATACAGTGACCCATGTGTAACCTACTGTACAGCAGAGTGACACCCACTTGCCCACCTTTTTTTTTATTTATAAATAATTTAACGGACTTAAGTCCTTTATAATAGGTAATACATTAAATGAACATTAAAAAAAGATTGAAAATAGATAATTTATTATTAAAATTTATTAGGCCTAATCTAACCTAATAATTGACTAAAATACAGGTATATGAAGTTTAGCTTATACTTAATTTTTTCTTAAAAATAACATAGAACCGTATTTAAAACTATTATGAGTGCTTGAAAAAAAAATCTAATGAGGAGAAAATGTTATTAGCTATTTTTAACGCAATTTTAATGTAAGGAAATATACTTATTTTTTATTCTCTAAAAAAACGTTATTGATCATGGATATTTTATATGCAAGCAGTGACAACAATTTGAATGCTACTATATGCGTATTTTTAAGTATTCTCAGAATTGAATCAAAGTTTTAAAAATAAAATGTTCTTTTAAATTATTTTGCACCAATACCTTAAGCCAATTGTCTGTTTCTATGAACAATTCTAAATAATACACCACTGCATGGTACTGCACTGAGATGTAAGACTCCAGTAACTTTGCTTTTACACTCGAAATGGAAATAAAAGTTTATTTTGGGATTCAATATTTAAACTTCTAAACTACCCATTAAAAATATGCATTTGGCAGTTATTTTATTCAAACGAACCTCTGTTACCTTAATCGTTCGGTTCGTTCTCTTCAGTGGCGCCAAACCCTAGCTACAAAACACAAAACATCACAAAACACAAAGACATACACAATAGCTACAGGAGCCGCTAACATGTTTTGAGTGGGTGGTGGACGGTTGGTTACCTATACAATCTAGTATTAATGGCTTGTTTTAAATTTTTTGTATGAAGATAATAATTGTTATTATATGATAATTAGTTTAATATTACTTATAATAGTTTTTATCTATTTACCTACACAAAACACAAATACATACATCCATAATAAGTAGTTTAACAGATTATTTTTTAAAGAAAAGTAGGTATTACCTACCTTTGTTGCCCAAAATTTACAAATATTAATTTAATGTTGATTAAAAATATTTGTTACTCATATATTTTATTTGTAACAGATAAATTTTTACTTTATTTACCTATTTTTATGGTTGTGAAAAATAGTTTTTATTGGATTCATACAGGAGAAAAAATTATAATTGACTGTAATGGTGTTTGTAAAAAGTTTAACATTTTGCGCATATAACTTTGAATAAACATCGGCGCCACCAGTTTTCTATATTAAAATTGTATATCTATTAATTAATGGTTACAAATACATAATTATTAATTTATATTTAATACTTTTCTAGATATGCCTGACTACGAGGGTTTATTTTTCATCCTATTACCAGTGTTTATTATGCTGGCCGCCAATTTAATTTTATTCTTGCTAACTGCTATTCATTGTTCAAGAATTAAATCTGAAATCAATAAGTTCAACCCAACAAATTCAAAAACAGAAAGTTTTCTTGTTTACAAAGAGAAGTAAGTACACAGGGCACATACCTAATAATATAGTCTGTTTACTACTTTTGGTACCTACATAATAAGAAAATTATTCAATATTTAAAACTTTTTAAACATTATTAATTAATATTGAAAACATTTGCGAGGTAAGTCAAAATATAAGTGATAAGCGTGTAAAAATATGAACATAATAATGAAAAATCTATATTTTTTAACTTGTACTAAAGTGCAACATAGTATACATATAGATAATATGACGTTTTTACTAATTAGTTTTTGAGTTTGATAAATTTGAAGTTAGTAGTTTCAAACAATTTTTGATTTATTGGTCGAAAAATATTTAAAATCGTTTCATTTGACTTAATATAACTTTTATTTTTTTTTAATTTTTGACAGATTTGTAATGAGCATCAAACTATTTCTGATTATTGGAATCTCATATTTGCTTACGGTACTATCTATTATATTACGAATTGAAGGGACAAAATGGAACATTATTTACGCCGCTAGCAGTTTACAAGGTGTATTTATATTTTTTATATTTGTGGCCAATCTAAAAGTTATTATGGACTTAAGAAAAAAGTTTAAAGGTTCAAATATGGATCACAGTAAGCCGACGCAATTTAACCTTACCTCTGGGTCGTCATAACAGCGGCACTGGGCAGTGCTCATAAAAGTTAAAATGATTTCTATATGCAATATGTATTTAGAATGTTGATATTATTATGTTATATGTTAAGACTCTAGACTCTAGGGCATATAAAAATCATTATTTGTGTGCCTTTAAGCATTACGATTTTGTTTTTTGTGGTTATTATAAAAATAAAATAATAGTTTATAGGTAATCAAAAAATACGATTTATCCAATTGTATATAAGGTATGTTATATTTTACTCAAACCATTTATCTTTGTTTTTAATACATAGTATATATTTATAGAATAAATTGATATATCCTATTTAATAAAATTACGAAAAATTGTTTAAATTGTTTAATTGATCTTTATCTAGGATTTCATTGTTCACTTTTATTCATTTACAATAAACTACAAAAATTATGTTGTAAAGAAAATATAAGCAACCAGTTTTGTGCTACCAGCAATTCCATAATTAAATATATAGGTATAAACATATTTATATCATAATAATTTAACCTATGTATCATAATGTTAATGAACTACGGTTTATATACAATTAGCATGCATAATAATACAATTTATGAGCTGTTTACTTTTTATTATTTTCAATAAGTTAAAATGTGATTTTTACACAAATACATTTTGAATCAGAGTTATAATATTGTTACATTAATTATTACCCTTGTTATGTCTGTAGTAAAAACAACATTGCGAATATTAGATATTGACGCGGACACGATGATTGTTTCAAGGTTGATCGTGGTCCGGTCGAAGCGTTTGGTTAGGATTGAGGTGATGAAAAAACACAACACAAACACTTAGGGAATGTCACAAATTATGTATTATAATATTGAGACCAAAATATAATAATACATGACGTGTCGCTAGGGCAAATGAGTTTAACGTCGGACGATATGTTATCGGTCCGACGGTCCGATGGTGGATCTCGCGAATCGCCTTTTCCGCCGACCGTTGTACGTCTTTTGCGACACAGTCCCCCAGAGAGTCAACCAGGTCCGGCTGCTTGCATCCCGTGGTGGTGGTTGGAGATAAGATAGACTGGTCGCTGTAGTGCCTGTACTTGGTACTAATGCGGGCCTCGTCAATATGGTGTTAAATCATTGTTTAGATCAACCGTCGTTTTAAGATTTATGAATTATGATATAATTAAAATGAGAATTAGATCCAACCATATCCTTCGAGATTTAGCAAAACCAAATTTTCATTGGATTCAATATTCGTTGCAAATACAATCTAAACCATATAATGTACCTATATACTTGCACGTATAATTCTATTTCAGATATAAACATTTTATATAATATATTACTTTTACACGATATACCTATACAATAGGTAAGTACCAATAATGTATATAATATGGTGTTATGTTTATATAAGTACATTTCTTTGTAACCGGTTGTGCTTCAAAATATTAACATGGATCATTGTAGACGCACGTGCCTATATTTTTATGCAGGGTATCTATTAAATAATTTTATAAGATCCTATATTACCAAAGGTGGGCATTAATATACTAGTATGAAAAGTTAAAGTTCAGTCCGCAGGATTTTTCAATGGGGGGGGGGGGAGGGCTTGAAAATTAGTTACAATTTTATTTTTATTTCGTGCAGTCTAATAATTTCAGACGTTTATTTGAGGTGTTTTAAAATGATTGTAATTTTTCAACTTTTCTGGTACAAAAAAATGCTCTGATAATAAGCTTCGATGCCTAGTGTAGACGTGTAGTATGTTTTTGGAAGCAAATTGGATCTTGTTGGTACTTTTAGGAGGTCGAAATTGAAAATGCTCAGTGCTTTTATGAATAATTGGAGAAAATAAAAATTAAAATGTATTTAAATTGTTTGGTAACAAACTTGGTTATACCGTCCTCCTTGGATTGAATTTGATGAATTAGATTTTTTTTTTTCCTATAAATGTTAAGGGTGCCTTTACGACAAGGCGTTAGTTAAATATAAATATCACACTAACGACCTTCTATGAATAAAAAAAGGAATTAAAATAGATAACCCGAGTGCTAATATGGTAAATAATTTATTTTATTATAGTTCTTAGTGATGATATGTACTTTGGTTTAGTATAATATAACAATGCTTGTTTAGCAATACATAAATAAGAATAACAAGTGTGAGATGACTACTTGGCACCCACTATAGGCGAATAAAATACAATAGCAAATGCTCATAATATATTGAAGTGCTTGATTAGCATATAAAAAATAATAATAATAATTTAAGACAGATCGTCGGCAGGTTACCTGGGGAATTGGTGTCCGTTAGCGGCTTCGAACCAAACGCTACCGTCTCAAGATGCACACATTTGTACAATAAAAATACAATATTATAATAATTAAATGTGTGGCAATCCCTGGAACGTACGACTAACAGACCACCAACTCAAACGAATAAATCACTGAAAACATGCTTCTATAAGTATCTTAATTCATCAATTGAGAACGGCTGGGCCGATTAGGCTGATTCTTTTTCTGTGTTCGTAATTGCAGAAGAACGTTTTTACGAAAGAAAATATTAGGAAAATCCACCCTAAAAGTAGGAAATCTGAATGTAAAAAATACAACAGTGGTGCCATCTGTCCAGAAAAAATAAACTTAATAACAAAATAATAAAAGTGTATTCAATTGGTTGCTACTAGTAAATCGGGCATGTTTGTTGATTGTTGATTTGTATTATTTTTTGTCAATATATATGTTAGCGTTAATGTATGAAATTCCGTAATTCTATAGAATAACTAGTTATTTTATAGAATTACGGGTACTTTCAGTTAATGTATTGAATGAATCCATAAATATATACTTCAACTAGTTATTCTACATACCAACTAGATATTTTATAAACTAACAATAAGGGTTTAGTTAATGTATTTAAAACTATTATTGAATAAAAGTGTTAATCAAATTACAAGTTACAAACAAAATCAAATATTATAGTATTAAGTCAAACAAGCCTGACAATATTATATAAAAAAATTAATATTAATTTATTTCACATCAATTTATTAGAATAATTATTAAAATCTTAATCAATTTACAAATTAAAAAATCAAATGTTATAGTATAAGTCAAACACACCTTACATTATTATATAAAATATTAATATTAATTTTTTTTCACGTCAATGTATATGTATAATTTTTTTTTTTAAATTTACAATTTATTTATTAGTACAGGAACTTTTTTGGTGGCATTTAGAATTTCAAAGTAAATTATTTTTTAAACATATGCACCGTTTTGTGGTGCACTTTTGTTGGCATGTACATTTAAAAAACCCTTGTCCATTACCAATTGATCGGATGCTTTCCGAAGGCAAATATCTACATCTGGAACGTCACTAAGCGTAATAAACTTTTCTGTGCATAAACTAAATTGTGACCTTGCGTAAAGTTGTTTTAGTATACCGTATTTAGTTCCTAAAACAAAATTATTTGAATTATTAATAAATAAATAAAAAAAAAAATTCTTTTTTTCCTGTTTTAATACGTTTCATTTCACTTATTAAGAAATCATATTTTTCTTTTAGCAAAAACGTGCTGTTATTACGCTCTGTTGTTGTATTTTTTATAATTGTATCAAATTTGGTTTTCATTTTAAAGTACACTTATTAGTTATTACACTATACAACACTAAAAATGATTAAACTAACTAGTAAGTAAACTCGCAGTACACTGTCACACGAATAAGTCTAGTCTATGCCAAATGGTGTAGTTCAATACTATCTTATTTTATTATTTTTATTAATAACAACAACGGTAACAAATTTTGTATGTTATCTAAACCAGTCCCGGTCATCTACCTAATGATATAAATTTCATACATTAACGAAAACCCAATCGGTATTTTATGTATTAACTAGTAAAACCATGTAATTTATATATTAACGAACATATTTAGGAATTTTATAGAATAACTAGTTATTTAATAAAATAACGTATTACATACATTACCGCTAACATATATATATGTATAAATGAATATCTGTGTGTACATTAGATCTCCGAGAAGGAGATGGGCTTATTTAAAAATTGTTGAATTTGGTTTTTTTCATAGGATTTTAGTATGGTCAAATTGTATAATTTGCCTCAGGTTTGAAAAATGTTCAGCACTACGCTACTGTATAGTATAAATACAAAAATTAAAGTAATAATTTCAAAAGAAACCTACCATATAAATGTTATTGTAATGTGTATTACGTCAAAAAATCATAATAATATAAACGTATATTATAAGTACAAAAAAAAAAAAGGCAAGCTACGTAAAATTTACATAACTTCGATAAAACATTGTAAATATAAATAATAAATATATATATATGATTTATCAAATTTCTTGTGGATGTTCCTGTTCAGTTATTTGTCGATTGATGTTATAGAGTTCATGTATGCCTTAATACCTTAACATTAAAACATGTTACATAATAAATTAGAGTTAAATCATTTATTAATTTAAAATATACTTAATATTAATAGAAACTCAAAATATATTTTTTAATTGATCACTCAAAAGTTATTCCAAACGCTCTCCCCTTACGACCTTTGTAGACCAGAGTCAAGTTCTTTACCACCCTCGAATTAAACTCGAGAATCTCATCGTTATTAAGTTTAATTGATTTAGGAAGGTACACATTGATAAGTTTATCGCCATCGTTATAAATATAAATAATATCGCCATATAAATAATTACCTATAGAAAAATTAGGACACAAATAAATGCATATTTTAAGGATTTTAATGGCATGAAGTCCCTAGCCTTAACTATTTGTAATCAATGACTATTACCATGGTTTACTGACTACAACATTACTAAAACACATGTCGACAATATAAAGCATCATAAAACTGATCTATTAAGCAATAATAGAAACTTGGTGGGTACATAATAATATGTCTACGTACGCACATGTACGCATAAAAACTGTGCTCAAAATTAATTTAATTGCAAATGTGTATTATACGTTAGGTACCTATCTAACTTACGTATAACTTAACTACACCTACCAACTATAAATTAATTAATCATACTAATGACTCATACACTTAAACATTTTGAAAAATGTTCGATGGTCCATGCTCATATTCATATAATATTATAATATAGCCTATAGCCTTATAACAATAATTGTGTACGTAAAAATGTATTGTGATAAAAATATAAACTTACTATGCATCGTATTATATTGACTAAAAATGAAGTAGTAAACATATTTCCGAGAAAACCTAGAAAAAAGAATAACGAGTACGCTCGTCTTTTCAAAATTAATATTAGTCTATAGTAACAAGGTGCAAATGTGTCCCTCTTTTGGTACTGTTTACATCAAATGTCTGCCCTACAGCCGGAACAAAAGTATTTTCTTCGTGTTCACTGACATGCGCATGGGTGTTAGAACATTTCTAAGAATCTTAAGAATCTACGATTTTAAATCAATTATAGTCAATGACTACGGAAATGAAATAATACGATAGATGTTACGGCAATACAAAATAAATCGGAAATCAGGGAATTCAAATTTCGTTGCCAAAAGTGTGATAACAGATTACACACACTAATGTTCATTTACTTCTCACACATTGACACAGCCAAAATGTACGTGTAATATTAAATGCCTAAACACTGCTCCTTAAAACATGGTCTGATATAGCTCCTTAAAAATAATTAATTTAAAATATATTGTAAGTTAATAGTTACCATCAATGTCTAATGATTTGAAGCTCTAAGCAAATATTCAAGGGTGAGTGCATTTTGCTGGACAGGTGAGTACAATAATTTTCGAATAATTCCTTGTATTTTAATATCATTAGTACAATTAATAGTTTATTATTTAAAATTAAAAAAATACTATAATTTGACTTTCGTCTTGGGGTGAGGGGAGGACCTCCACCAATGAGCACTCCTGACTACAAAGTATTTTCCCATTCATGAAATAGAGAAATATGTTTATTTAAGAAGTGGTGTATTGTCATGGTATATGTGAGAAATGTAAAAAATTGTGGTTCCTTATTTTGTAATATTTATAGATATTTGAAATTATTTACTAGCTGATTTAAGTTTTATTTTCGATTCATGAACTATTTAATGGCTTACTCTGAACCAATATGAATGCTCTCGAGTTCATTTTGTAAACATTCAGTTCATTAAAAGCCATTCATGTTGCATATATATGTAAAATGTACAAGGTATACTCAATACTCATAGGTGCAATGTAGGTTAAATTGTAAGGGGTTCTAGATTCACGACAATTAGAGTGGCTAGTGGGGATGGCTTCGCCCCAACACGGCCCCACTATCCTCCTCCTTTTATTCATATGACTTCATTTACTTTATACACATTTATTTTAACAATATATTAGAATTCTTTATAATAAATTACAAATGTGTTATATAAATCGAGATTGTCATTTTGGATTCACACTTGTGAACTCTGTACCAAGCAGATTGACTTTTCGACGTAATCGTTATCAACTTATCGTCTTATAAAGTCTTTGGTAATTGTAAATAATAGTGCCATTGGTGCAGTTTCAATAAAAAAAAAGGTGCTCTGCTGTACAGTAGGTTAAAAGGGGGTCACTGTATAATGGATGCTATTAAATTTGAATTCAATGATATATCATTGTATAAGAAAAACGATTCTGAGTGGAGACGGTATGTCAGTATATGGGTATGAGACATATTATAAACTATCTATGGTATTAAAAAAAAAAAATTGACTTATAAATATATTAGTACGGTTAAGTTAGGTTAGGATTTTGTATTAATTGATTATACTAAACCACCATAGGTGGAATACGACAGACTTGGTATAACTTTGATACATTAGAGTTAAATCATACACTTACGTACAAACAGCACGGTCTCCGTGAGCTACCCCAGATAGTTTGCCTACCTGTGACTATACTGCTGCGAATCAGAATTTTTATTCCGGGCCACGGAAAAGTTAAGATAAATTTTGAGCACCATAAACCGAATATTAAATAACGAATTGAACAAAGTTTGAGTCATATAGAGTCGGTATATTTAACGGGCAACAAAGTGCACGGTATCAGCTACTATATATATAAAACTAATAATTAATTAATATTAATCATATAACAGTACATTTTATTTGCAATTTATATTATATGGAAATGTTTGGAAAGTGTTCAAAACTGTATGCCTGGCTCATGTTTTTTAAATAATAATATGTTCAGTATCTATGCTTACAGTTAAAATTTTGTTTTTTGATTTTATTTTGTTCGGTCATCAATGATTTATAATGTATTAAATATTTGTTTTTAAATTTCAATCCAACTAACAGATATTATGCCTCAGACAAGTAAAGATAACATTGATCAAGAAAAAATTAAAATAAATGAAGTGGGCAAGACATTTTTTGAAATCCAATTTGATGCTAAAGAAAAAATTATTACTAGGTTAAAAATTATATATTTAGTTGTTAGTAGAATATTGAAATCGGTGTCTTGTGAAATTATCCTTATTACGTACCACAGGTTGAATGATGAGATCAAAGATTTCAATAGTAAAAACGATAAGTTTAAAGGTAAAATCAATCGTTTAAACAAAAAATTGAAAGATGATTACGAATATTTGAAAAAGATTTTGGACGAGAAAACCAATCTTGAAAAACAATTAAAGGAGGAAATCGCTCAGCTAAAACAAGTTTGAACCACTTATTTTGGTAGTTTGAAATTTGAATGTTTTTAGTGACAGTAGGTAAGTCTGTCGTGTTTAAAAATTGTATAGGAATTCGATTCCATGGAAGAAACAGGCCTAAGTAAATTAAAAGAACAACACGATGAATTCATCAGAGAAACCGGAAAATATAAATCGATTACTGCTATATACGGTGGGTAGTACATTACAGCACGACAAATTAGGTAGGTATCATCACAGTATTTTGATACGTATCCTCCACTCTTTACTTTGCCTTTATCGTAGTTCTCCACTTCTTATTAGCTGTCGACCATATACATAATAAATAATAACATGGAACAAAATCGACCAATGAGAAGTGGAAAACCACGCCATATAGGCCGGAGGTGAAGTATCCTCCGCTCAAAACTAGTACAACTGTGATGATGCCTATCGAATTTTTTTCATGCATTACGGTCAATATATATACAAATCGTAAATTTTAAAACGTAATATTAATATTATATTTTGTGCGAATAAAACACGGGTGTAAAATGAAATACCATTTTTTTTTCCATATCAGTGGGAAGATTAAATAAGTTGCACGAATTTTCCAAACAAGAACAAATACTCGAACAGAAATACACAGATATTAAAGAACAAAATGTAATCACGGATAAAAACTATGGTATTGCATTGAAAAATCTCGAGGAGAATAAATATAAAAGTGAACAAATTGTAAGTATTATTTGTATGTAACTGATTTAAAAAATAATAGATCAAGACGTTTCTGGGTAGTTTTAATATTTGATGACCTTATAATAATTAATACATTTATTATTGTTGTTCATTTCAATTTTAGCGCTGAAAGAATCATGTTAAAACGATGTGTAGATTTCTCAGCGCACATGAAAAAACAATCATTGGCGGTTGAATGTCCTGTCGGAGGGGCGAGTACCAAAGAGGTCCTCGATCTCAAAGACATGGTATGGTACCTACGTTTATTCATTGCGGATACTGTTGATAAAATACGTTTCTACTCATTAAAGGTGGAAATAGGCAACAAACAGAACGCAGATCACGCACAAAAAATTCTCAATTTGAAGGAAGAAAATAAATTAATTAACGAGACACTTAAAGAATTAACGAAATCGAACTAGAAAAATTATACAAAAAAATATTGATGATTGTTCCTCCCTCTCAATCCCCGGCAGTCCTCCTAGACGTTTAAAACGTAAATGGTGCAGAGACCTGCTACAAATTTTAATATAGAAATACAAAAAAAAATAAAAAAAAAAATATTAACGAATTAAATGTATATCATACATTACTTTTTCATACATAACATCAAATTAAAGTGTCTCATTGGGTGGCTTCTTTACTCACTTTTTTTTTGTATTTTGTATACTCATGTTATCTGTCCTTTATCATATATGCTTATTATGTCATCTGATATAGATTGTATATTTCGACTTAAAATAAAAAAAAAATGATTGTTCGGAGAAGAAAAACGTAAGCTCAGCTGAATAAAATTATTCGACACACCTTCATTATATTATCATTAGAGAATCGAAAAGTATCGATAATATTATTTTTAGTCAATCACCGAGCATGCTCACCTCTATTTTTTCCCCATGAAATTACTCAAATTCTGGTTATTGACATTTATAGTTAAGGCTTGATCTTGAACACCATAATTTAAAATATATAAATTTTTCATGTCGTTTAAGAATTAAGCGATTCCTGCGAAAATCACAACATAAAGTTATATTTATCAAACAAGAACTGCCCATTTTTCTGTAAATTGTTAATCATATTATTTTATTTAAAATTTTGATGTGTATAATATGCACACATGGACATTCGGACGATTAGTTTTAAAACTGTATGTACTAAGCATATATTATTGAGTGTATAATATAAACCATGACAATGGATTCAGTTGATCTCATGATATCATGATTTAAAAATTATGGTAATTAATATTTCTCTATTAAAATTGTATGATGGATACAAATTGTCCGAGTGTGATAAGTATTAAACTATAAAAGATTATATCATATCACTTAGTATCTAATATAAAGATAGTACATAAAGTTTAAAAACTCAGAAACTATTCATTAAAATTTAGAATTTAAATTTAGATGGATCAACGTTTTCAAGCTAACCATTTGCTAAACATGACTAACAATATTTACAATAAAATAGTATGGTTATTATTTAAAAAAAAATGTCTTTGTATTTCACATGACCACAACACTAACGGTTTAAAAATTTAAATATTTAAAAATATAGTCTTTACTCATTAGCTATACTTTAAAATAAAAAAAAAAATAAAAAAAAAAAACATTAAATACATTTAAAAGATAGAAATACAGAAAAGGTGTTGAGCAAATAGCGTGCTATTAATAGCGTTGAGGTATATCTTTTTATACTCAAAATCAAATTATTTCCGCAGAATACTCAAATCATAAATATTGTTATATATTTGGTTAATTTGATGGATTTTGAATAATAAATGTCGTGTCCTGAATAATGTATTTGAATGAATAGTCTACAATCTACTCTGAGTGAAATATATTATTTTCATTATACTCGTGTTTTTAATAAATTATTTGTTAATTATTATTACCAAGATTATTACATATAATTACTTTAAAACCATACAATTCTTATAACATTTATCATTGTTCTTTAATCGCCTTTAACAAAGATTATCATCACAGTCATGACTGGCAGTTAATAGCTACTAGAATTTTGTGTTATAAGGTATAAGTATTTTAAATTATAAATTCCCATGTCTTTTCAAATGTTTAAGGGAGGTCAGGCATACGATCGGTGCACAAACATCTTTGCATGACATTCAATTTGATAGTAAAAGAGTTAGCATAATAAATTAACATAATAAGTAGTTATCCATATTATTAAAATTATAAATAATATGTATAAATATCTATACAAATATATTATATATATATTATTAAATAATATACTAAAAAACTACCAACAATATAAAAATAAAGTCATACTTTATATTGAGTTATTGTTTTAAATCATTATTTGTTAATTATTTTATTTGAAAGTCATATTAACTTCCTTTATTCATATAATTAATTCCAATAATTTCCTATACATGTTATATATAAATTCAATATATGTGTATTGATGTGAAAATATCTTAATCGTCCTTTTATCGTATAATTGTCTACTATTTAAGTAAAATGCAATTTGTTTTTATGTACCGTCACCGTTGTACGTCGACCTGGGGCCTTACAATACTCGACAGGATGTGACAATTTTGGAAAGTTAACTGACGAACGCGAAGAATTTGCAAGGAATACAGCAGCAGGATAAGGATGAAGTTACGGTAGTGAGGGTGGCTCCAATATATCTCGTGACCAAAGTCGACAGTGACGATGCTAAAATGCAAGCCGTGGACCGAGACTTGCATGTGGCTCAGGCGAAGTTGCGTAACACTCTGTATGCCAACGACTTGTTGAATCGTCGGATTTGGAAGGCTCAGGACGTGTTATTAAGTGTCTACGAGAAAGCGTCGGTTCATCTGGAAGAGGTATTGTTGATATCCATATAAAAAATTATGAAATGCTGTTCGCTGGTAATCCCTGCATCACTGGAAAACAGCTGGACCAGTTTGGTTAATTTTTTTCAAAAAATATTTTAATAGTTTGAATGAGGTTTTTACGGAAGGACAATTTGGAAAAGTTGCTAAAAAAATTGGAATACTCGAAAATTACGATAGTACCTAGGTAGGAGAAATTAGTAATTTTTTTAAATAATATAAATAGCTGCCACTGCAGGTCACTCGGGAAGATAAGTAAAACCATTCATACAACCGTGGCGTTTATTTAAGGAAATTATATTTTAAAACAAATATGAGAGTTGCATACTGTACGTTTTGGCTTACCTATATACTCAAAAACTAATTGACTGATTTTATGAAAATTTAAAATTGTTCTTAGAAATATCAGGAAAGTTTTTAGAGAATAGTTTGAATCATGGTCGATTTAAACCAAGTGCTATTATATCCAATCCGCCACAGGCGAATTTCCCATCTCGGTCAAATTAGTTCACAAAGTGAGGTACACCGACGCCGATTTACCAGTGAACTGAGGTACACTAAAACCAAGAAAAACACATATATAACGTAATATTTTATATATTTTTTTCACGCTAAAAATTGATTTTCGTTTATCCAAGGTTAATAGACTCAATAACTACTGGACCGCTTTAAATAATAATAGATTCCTTGAGACTTGGAGGCTGTTTATAGATTTTTTTGAACCCCTCTATTTAGCTAAAGGGCGGTTCTCACAACATGCAATTTTTTCACAAAAAAAGAATATTTTTTTTTATTTATTCAAATCCTATATACATATAGACAAGGCTGGGCATTAACGAGTTAATAAGTTAAAGTTAAGTTACTTTTAACAGGACGTCGCACCCGCATGTGTTGTCTCCGTCTTACACACATAAGACATAGCAAATGTTCGTTGGCTAGTTTCAATAGGGTATTGTCAGTTTTTATATTAGAGTGAATTGACCTATTATCAAAATTTTAGGTAAGAACAGTATCTGTGTTCTCTCGTTGGTTTTTTACGATATTTTAATTTTTAAGTGAGTTATGGATATGTAATAATTCATATTCTAAAATAGTCATAACTCACTTAAAAATTAAAATATCGTAAAAAACCAACGAGAGAACACAGACAATGCTGTTACAGTGTTGCCTGTTACCTAAAGTTTGATAATAGGTCGATTCACTCTAATATCAAAACTTACAATACCCTATTTAAACTAGTAAACGAAAATTTGCTATGTCGTACGTGTGTAATGGCCAGTTGTACCGTCTATGACTATGGTTAATCAGAGTTTAATCGGCCGAATTTCCCTGTTTAAATATCTGTTATCAGCTGATTAAGCTTAATCATAGTTTAATCATAGACGGTACAACTGGCCCTAAGACGGAGACAACACATCCGGGTGAGACGTCCTCTTAACGAAGTTAATTAACGAGTTACTTTTTTTTTTAGAAGTAACTTCTAACCTAACTAGTTAATTCATTTTATTGGCTTGTTAAGTTATTTTTTTCCCAAACCACATATTTAAAATTAATTCAATTTTGTAAAATAAATTAAATAAAAAAAAACTCGAAATTTAAAATATATTTTAGTAAATAATAATCTATAATAATAGTAAGTTATTATATTGCATATTATTTACAAAAAATATTATATAACTATATTATAGACGGAAATGTTATAGGGGTAACCGAGTCATTAATAAAAAAAAAATATAACAATTTACTCAGTACCTACCCATACATGACATATTATATAACCTAACGTCCTAACCTAATATAGGCTATACCTAATCATTATTAATATTATTAGGTAGGTACTTATTATATTTGTATTTATTTATTTATTTATTTATTTATAGAATTACAGCGATAACTTAGTATAATACCCCTAGTAACGTGGTGTATTTCTAAATTCTTACTATTAATTACATAATATTTGATAATATATTATATTCTAATAAATAATAATTAATTTGATTGTTATAATATTTAGTATAGTTGTGAATTTACGTTAGCAAATATATAACAATAATTTAATTATTTTATTGGATTTCATCATTGAGTAAAGTATAATATACAAATATAAGTACCTACAGTAACTTATTTTATTACAAACATTTATTTAAAAATTGTAAGACATTTATTGATTTATTATGTTATTTGTTTGCTTTAAAAAGGTAGGTAGGTAATTATTAATTTTATTTTAAAAAAAACTTATTTTTAACTAAGTTAAGTTACTTTTATTTTCTAATTAACTTGTAACTTTTATAAATTAAAAAAAATAAAGTTAACTTTTAACTTTAAACTTAATTTACATTTTTCTATATTAACTCAACTTAACGAGTTAAAAAAAATAGTTAACTTACCCAGCCTTGCATATAGATATAGTATATTATTATATTATTATACGCTTTAGATACACCTAGTATCTAGCCCTCACTTTGAGTGTATATCAGTTTTAATGTACGGCAGTGTACCTCAGTTCACGGAAAAAATGGCGTCAGTGTACCTTCCTAATTTTGTGAATTAATTCGACCTAGATGGACAACCGCAAGTTGAGGATTGGATTTAGCATTTTGTATATTTTTTAATGTGGTATAAATCTAAAGTCTAAACTACTTACTCTCTACACATTTTTGACATTTCTAAAAACAATCTTTAAGATTTTTGTCAAATTCAACTCAGTAGTTTTTGAGTATATTATAAGCTACATACATACATTTGGTTCAAAGATATAGTTTCTTTATTCGAGGCAATAAGCCATAAGCTCGACCATTTGATGCGTGAGTGTAACTGATCTTCCCGAGTAACCAATGGCAGCCATTTATAAAATGGCAATCATTTAAAAAAAAAAAATTCAGTTTCCTTTCATTCATTTCAATCATTACATTAGAGGAACAACTTTTAAAAATTTCAGGTTAGTAGGTAGGTTTTGTAGTTTTCGAGTAATAGCGATATATATATATAATATATAGAAAATTATATTGTAGACACTTTGTGAAAATTTAAAGCATCTAAGGTTATTCGTTTTTGAGTTGCACCAAATAATCAAAATCAATTTTGTCGAAAAATGGTTTTGTATAAAAATTCCAGTTTTTTTATATAAAATGTTTTTGTTTTTCTCGACGCTTTTAAAAAGTACTAGGAACTTTTAATTTCTACCTATCAATAATTACAACTTTTCCACCAGAAGTTGAAAATCAAAGTATTATTTCAACTACTACTTTTGTCGCAAATACAAAAAAAAACAGATCATTGTAAAATCAATATATTAATTATTACTCTGCTCAGAATCTAAAATGTGTTCAATAGAATGTATTTATGTAAACAATTTATGTTTCCAATAATACATACATTTATTTAAAAAATTACGGTTTACTTTTAGTAAATTGGAAACTCTATTTAGTTCATTATTATAAGTATGTCAAGTGTATACAAGAACGGATAAAAGTTTTTCCAACTTTGCATGTGATAGGGTTTCTTAATAATGGACACCTATTTTTCGCCCTATAAAACTAACTTTTTAAAACGACCATTATCGTGAGATTCTATGTCTTGAACTGACGATATAATCTCAAATTTTAATTTTCAAATAACAATAAGAACAACGCACTTAAATATGACAGTGAGTGTAATGTGTATGTCAAAGTCACATCGAATGTACCTAAGATATACCTACATAATATATGTACTTACCTATATAGCTGCAGTAGGTTGCTTACCAATTGACTATATTTTTATATTATAATTATTATAAATTTCTAACACGCTGTGTAAATTAAATAATACATAATTAATATAATAGCTTAAATATTTGGTTTTTAGATAAAATCGAATACAAACGACTGCAAGGAAAAAATGAATGATTTTATTCAAAATCTGGACAAAGAGTTAAAAGCGCTTTAACATTGAAGAAGGAAAATTCAAAAAAAACCATGAGAAACTTGATACAGTTTTATATAGTTCAAGAAATGTTTGAATTAAAAATAATGATGTTCCAAGAAACAGTCTGTTTCGAGCAAATTGGTTCATGATAAAATAGTGCAATACAACAAGTATTTTATAAAAACTCATGTTCAACAATATGCAGTTACAAATAAAATAATATACTCCCAATCATTTTGGTATTTTGCACTTTACTACTAAAGTAATATTAGTAGGTATAAACTATATAATAATATTGAATTACATAGTGTTTTCTATTTTGTTAAATTTGTGGCTATTAGATCCCATTTCATTAGTTATACATTTTTACTAAAAAATATTAACGCAATCAAAGTATAATATCATTGATGGGTATACAGTGAAACCTCCCCTAACGGACACCTCCTAATAGTACAGTCTTATTGGAAACCAACTACAGACTTCTACGATCTGAACCATCTGAATAGCGGAAAAAATTTCAGGTACCAAGGGCGTGTCTGGACTTCAGTGGTTTCATTGTATTAATATTATATTCACTTATTTGTTATCATCTATAGATAGTTGTTTTATTCAATGCATAAAATATCAATGCATGTCCAGTTATTAAAATATATCTGTAAAAATGTTGATGGAGGTTAGGCGTAAGATTAGATTATTTATATGGTTTTTTTAATCATAATATGACATTACAATTAAACATAAACACTCCTTCCAGATACACTAATGTTTGAGGTCATATTCTTAGATTCTATACTTTTATCTCAGACGACGATTGTATTGCATAATTGATAATAGTAACAACTTACTGTCTATAGACATTATCAGCTCAAGTATTATCCGTTCCATAGTTCTGGATAAAAATATAATAGTAAATATTATATGTTACCTATACATTTAAGTTGGTTTATTTCCCAAGAATGTGTTGACTTTGTTCACTGCCGAATTCATTTTAATATTACACCTTTTGGTAGTGTGTAATAAATAACTAACAAACCATGGGCTGTAATAGATAGTGTAAGTGAAACATTTTCAGGTACAATTTATGATAATGGCACGCTTTAAACATTAAGTATGTTTAGAAAGTATTTTTGAACTGAAGAACAAAAAAAAAAAGGCGGACAGAATATACACAGGCAGTAGTAGTTTGGTGGGTGGAGGTGGAGGAGGACACAATCTTCTAGCTTCGTTTACTTCAATTCGCAGAGTAGGTAGGTACCTCTATACTGATTCAATTTTCAACTTATGCAGATTAATATTTGAAGCATATTTTTCATTTCGAAAAATAACGTATTTACAATTTACACATTTCTTGGAATTATAAAACACTAAACTATAAAATACTTGAATAATGAAAAAGTTTATAGACTACCGCAGAATATAATTTAATCAATTTATTGAACTCTACAGTATGAAAAAAGTTAAACGGTCTCAATAAATAAAAAAATATCAATAACTTTTGCGGTATAGGAATAGTATTAGGCTTATTATATATATGACCCTGAGATAATAGATGAATAATGCAAAAGGGTAGAGAGCATATTTCTTCGAAGTCCTGCAATAGAACATATACGTTCTAAACTGCAGGTCTCCTCAATAACGGGTTGAATTTTTTTTCAACCCTCACCGATCAAATATATATTATAAATTATAATTATTGTTAAATTACTTTAATTTAACTTAAATGCAATCAAGTGATAAACGTCAAAAAAAAAAAAAATTACTTATCAATTGCTGGTCAATTACTTATTTTACCTAATTAGAATGTCCGTGGTAGGAGGAAGAAGTCATTTTTTTTATAAATAACAGTATAGCTTATACTTAGTTATATAACTTATATTAATATATGAATGTACAAATTATTAGGAATCTTAGTTAATTTAATCTATATTTAGACCATTAATATAGTTAATCAAGTATTTTAAAATCAACTATGTTGAAACTGGTTTTATTTAAAGTCTACATCTTAATTTACTACCAGAAACCACCCCCACAGTCAATAGTCAAATCATTTTTCTACTATAAATCGTGTTGGTACACATGTACACAAAACAAAACACACATCATTGTGAATTTAATGCATTCATTGCTCCACTCGGAATCTGAAATAAAATAATAATTTAAAAAAAAAAAAAAACGACAATAATTATGACTTTATGAGTTTATTGAGAAAAATCAATTTGTAAAAATCTTCAGTGGGGTTTGTGAGTGGAGCAAAGTTTACTACAGAAAAACATTTATTATTCATATATTTAACATATATACACAGTATTTAAATTTTAAATACATGCACAGGGTGACTTTTTGAGTATGCTCACAATTTTTAAATTCCGAGACTAGTGGTTTTACAATGGTCTTTATTTTATATTTTTTTTTATATCCTGTACACAAAATATCTACCAGAAGGAATGCTTCGATTTCAACATATAGTACCTACTACTTTAGCAAATTGGAACAAGATTTTACTTTAGAAATGTCATTTTTCAATTTTCTCAATAGTTAATTAATGCCAAGGCAAAACCCCGGCAAATTACGAAAAACAGCTAAAAATGGGATTTTAATTTCCAACTCTTTGTTTGTCACCATGGAAACAAATAAAAATTATAATAACTATTATAATATAAATTCAACTTACAGGATATAATAAATAATAACAATATCCAGACTGACAAACCGTCTCCGCTCAGAATCGTTTTTCTTATACAATGATATTATACCATTGGATTCAAGTTTAATACAATCTATTGTACATTGACCCACTTGTAACATACTGTACAGCAGAGAGACATCCACTCACCCACTTTTTTTTTTATATTTAAATAATATGCATATATTAAAATATTGATTTTTCACAACATTTAAGGATTATTCTATGGTGATACTAACGTTGGTTTTTCAAATGAGATACGTTTTTTAATGAAAATTGTGACACAGATGGTTTTTCTGGAAATGTTGATGTATTGTAATTTGTAATTATTGCAATTTAAACGAAAAGTTTCTGAGTAATTCTACTTTGACTACTAAGGATAATAGCTGGTTGTACTTTATAAATCGGTACAGGCTCAGTTATTATAATAAATTAAATATATGCAACATACAATATATATTTTAGTAATTACTACTTAGTTAAGTATAATAAGACAATTATTCAATAACAAAAAAATACTTATCGATTAATTTTGATCATTTTCAAAACAAAAGTAAATTATATCCTTTTAACAGACTAATATCCTTAGAATTTAAAGTAGAACAACTAAGAAATATCCCTTTCAAATGCCGCCTACAATAGGTCAATATTCTCAGAAAAAATCATCAGATTCACAATTTACATTAAGACATGCAGGTTTCTAATACCATCAAATGTTTTTGCTTCTGGGGGGTAAAATTAACCTATTACATTTTCACTAGGACTTACAATAAGCCTAGGATATTTTTAGTTTTTATCTCACTGTAAAATGATTCAGGGGGGGGGGGTGAAAATAGACTAGTTTTTTTTTACCCCTCAGCAATATACATCCAGACTCCAGAGGGGGTAAATTAAATAGGTTTTTTTACCCCCTCGATAAAAATATACTAGGTTTTTTACCTCTTCTCAGTTAAGTATATATTAGGTTTTTTTTACCCCCCAGTTTTTGTCGTTTGTGCAAATGTATTGATAATTTCACAAACGGATATAATAGTTATAATAATTAAATGCTCGCTCATGGAACAATGCCAAGCGTGTCCAGTCTATTTCGTTCCAGTATTGACCTTAGCCGTTTTTTCAATTTTAAAAAATGGATACAAAAAATGCCACATTTTAAATTGTAAAAGAGTTTGTAAAAAAAAAATTGCATCTCTACCCACCATGGTAACTATAATGTTGATGTTTTTATTTTTTTACACCAAAATTAACAAGTTATAAATCATCTTGTGTGAATGCCCATTTTTTTCTTAATAAATATGTGCATGAACATCTTGACCAAAATAATAAAGTATTAGGTATATTCCTAGATATTAAGAAGGCATTTGATTGTGTGAACCACCAGTTTTACTTAAGAAATTAAATTATGCTGGAATCCGAGGTATTGCAAATAAGCTAATTAGTTCATATCTAAGTGATAGACATCAAATAGTCAAAATTAATGATAAACCAAGTCAGTCTTTGTCAGTCAACCATGGTGTACCTCGGGGAACAGTCTTGGGTCCGATATTTTTTATTCTATATATAAATGGTTTACTTAATATTAATACAGAAGCTGAAATTATGTGTTTTGCTGATGAAACAGTTATTCTTATACATGATAAAAATATAGAAGAATTATATATTAAAGCAAATGTTATTTTTAATACTGTTAAATCATGGTTTAATAACAATCTTCTTGAGTTAAATCTAAATAAAACCAAACACTTTGTTTTTAATGTAACTAATATTGATATTCAGAACAATTTAAAAATCTGTGAACAATCAACCATGTGCCTAGCAAATAATGATCTAAACCGTGCATGTGTATGTATAGAAAAAGGTTAATTGTATAAAGTATCTAGGATTATATTATATTGATTCGTGTTTAAAATGGAAAAATCAAATTGAACATTTAATATCATTAAGTCGTAAATTCTATTATTTTCGTAACCTTAGATCTATACTCGATAAATATAATTAAGAATAATTTATATCTCACTCGTTCAATCAGTTATTACGTATGGTAAATTCCAAATTAATCATATCACAATATCCATTAGGCACTTATAACGCATTATACATCAACAACAAACCGTGATACTATAGAAGTTTCACACTTTAGAAGTTTCAAGTACCCACGAGTAATATTATACAATCATAACAAAATAACTAAAATAGTTATTCTAGGTTTTTTATTATGTAATTTCGTCCAAATTTGAACTTAATGACTATAAAAGTAAATTATGCTTGTGTATTTTTTAGATTTTTTGGTAACAGAATTATAACTACTTACATTGAATCTTGATTTAAATTTTCAATC